CCGGGCTGGCCTCCGCCTCCTGGGACGCGCGCCCACCCCCGCGGCCCCCAAACTTCGGAGCAACTCTCCAGACGCTTCTCCCCCGCCTCGGTCTCCCTCCTTTCCACTTCTCTTCCCCCCTTCCTTCCCTCTTTCTTTCTCTTTCTCTCCCACCCGCCTTTCCTTCTATTAACTTTCCTTTCCCCTCCCTTCGTCCTTCCTACTTTTACTCCTGGGCTCCTCCCCCCTTTGCGCAGCCACAAATCAATCTCTCTCTTTTTTCCCCCCTCTCTCTTCTTTGCTCAGACGCAAAAAAGCACCGCTTTTTGGAAATCCGGACTGCTGTCCCCGCTGAAACGATACTTTAAAAAAGGAAGAACCCACTGGCTCTTATTTCTGTTTAAAGCAGTAGATCCCGAACTCTTTTGGCCCACTGCCCCCTTGGTTCCACATCCCCCAGTGTCCCCTATGCTTACTCTATAGAAAGCATTACAGGGGTTAACGCGGCTCGCTAAGGAAGATATTAATAGAATTCTGCATTTGGGGGGAGACCCTAACAGTCATCTACCATTACCTTCTATGCTGTTACTATTTTTTAATTTTTTTTTACATAAGTAAAAAGTGACCTTTCCCCATCTGGCATGGTGGTGTGCCTCGAGATTTTTTTCATGACACAAGTGTGCCTTTGCCCAAAAAAGGTTGGGAAACACTGATTTACACAGAGAAAATGCATTCAGATTATCTTCTGTTTCTACTGGAGGAGCTAATTCGGAGTGTTATGTAGTGTAGTTTCACCCTGGGCCAACAGGGGGATACTGTATATAGTTTTCACTCAGGTCTGTAGATAGTTTTCACTCAGGTCCGCGGCAGTTATTTTAGGCGGGAACTCTGGGCTGTTGTGGTTACAATGTTGACAGCCGGCTGCCTATAAATACAGGCCGGCTGAGCTGTTCGCAGTCAGTTCGATTCCAGCTTACCATAATAAAGAGCTACTTGAAGAAATCGCTGTGCCGGCTGCTATGTCAACCCACGACTTAACACTGGCGACGAAGGTGGGATCGATGGACATCAGAGCACAGCCAGATGCGGCCAGCCTCTGAACTGAGCTGAATCACTGAGCTGAATCACAGAGCGAAATCACTGAGCGAAATCACTGGGCAGAACCAATTCAGAGCTGACTGTTCTGGCTAGAGCACTGTGTTCCATCCATCGCCCTTCACGCCGGCATCGGAATCATGGCTTCACTTGTGCCTCTACCGCCGTTTGCGCCAGCCTCTGAATCATGGGACTCCTACCTCGCTCGGTTCGACTGCTACCTCCAAGCCAACGAGCTGACAGCAGTATCAAAGGATCGGAAGCGGGGCCTATTCCTCAGCCTCTGTGGGCCTGAGGTGTTTGAGACGGCCCGAGCGTTGGTTGCGCCTGAAGCAGTCCAGGCAACACCATGGGACACGATCCAAGAGAAGCTCCGCAACCACTACGCACCAAAGCCGTCCAAGATTGCTGCCCGCCATGCGTTCTACCACCGGAACCAGGCAGAGGGGGAGTCAATCAACAACTACACCACCGCCCTGCGACAGGCTGCAATGCACTGTGAGTTCCGAGACTTAGACGATGCCCTGATGGATCGAATCGTCTGCGGGGTCCGGGACATCCATCTGCAACGGCGCCTCCTAGCCAAGCCAGACCTCACGCTACAGAAAGCCATTGAGGAGGCTGTGGCCTCAGAAGCTGCTGAACGCTCCGCCCAGGAGATCCGCAAGTCCAGCAGCCCGCGTCTTGCTAGGGAGCCAGTTCCGGTGCATCATGAAGAGGCCAGCAGTGAGGAGGCATCCTCCAGTGAAGACGATGACGTGCACCAGACAAAGCGGGAGCGCAGGAAGTTCCAACAGAAGTCCAAGGGCCAACCGGAATGTGCTGGCTGCGGAGGCAACCATTCCCGTGCCAAGTGTCGATTCAGAGACGCCCTCTTCCAGCATTTGTGGAAGACCCGGCTCCAGCTTCATCGCTCCTTCTGATTGAGGATCTTCCGGCAGCGCCTGTATCGGCTGCCACTGTGGCCTCCGCATCTGCCCAGGATCGCACCATCAGCCGGGTGCTCAACTGGGTGTGGAGGGGGTGGCCACAAGGGCCCTTTGCATCGGAGTTCCAGCCCTTCGCAACCAGACAACATGAACTCTCAGCTCATCGCGGCTGTCTGCTGTGGGGAGACCGCGTCGTGATTCCCCAGGGACTCCGTCAGCGCGTCCTGGAGGCTCTGCACGTTGGCCACCCGGGAATTGTCAAAATGAAGGCGTTGGCTCGGTGTTACGTCTGGTGGCCTAATATGGACGATGCCATCACTGCCTGGGTGTCCGCCTGCCAAGCGTGCCAGGAGTCGAGGCCTGCACCACCGGCAGCTAAGGGACACACCTGGGAGACGCCAAAGACACCCTGGTCGAGGGTGCACATCGATCTGGCTGGCCCCTTTCACGGCCGGACCTTTATGGTAGTGGTGGACGCCTATTCCAAATGGCTGGAGGTCGCCCTGATGCCCTCCACCACTACCGAAGCTGTCATCCGGGTGCTGCGAGGCCTGTTTGCAACGCATGGGTGTCCTGATGTCCTTGTCTCTGACAACGGACCGCAGTTCACGTCAGGCACGTTTGAGCGGTATCTTTTGGGACTGGGCATCCGCCATGCCCTAACGGCACCCTTTCATCCATCCAGCAACGGGCAAGCGGAAAGAATGGTGCGCTCGACAAAAGAGGCACTGGCGCGCCTGGACCGGGGAGACTGGCATGAGCGGGTCGCCGAATACTTGTTCGTGCAACACATCACCCCTCATGCGGCCACAGGGAGGAGTCCTGCTGAACTGCTTATGGGCCGCCGCCTCAGGTCACCGCTCGACCGGCTACACCCAGACTTTGCCGTGGCTGAACCCCCAGGCTGTGCCAACGCACCACGGTCATTTGTCCCAGGAAACCAGGTCTTTGCCCGGAACTATGTGGGGGACATCCCTTGGGTGCCAGCCACAGTAGTGGGAGTCACTGGACCTCGCTCGTACCAGGTGGCACTCGAAGACGGACGCTTGTGGCGACGGCACATAGACCAGCTTAGGCGCAGGGTTGGGGACTTGGACACTACCGAGGTGCCCCCAACTGCGCTTGCGACGCCAGAAGAGACACGTACTGATGGCGAGGCCCCACCTACACCTCCCTCGCAAACTGCCAGCGTGGAGCCGAACCAAGCCGTTTCAGAACAGACTCAGACCACTCCACTTGCGGAGGCTCCACCCACAGCAGCGGATCCAGGGGAGTTGGTTCCAACGCCACCTAGGGTCGCACCACAGCCTCAGCGAGAACTGTGTGGCCCTCCGGACTTGGCTACCAGTCCCCGGCGGTCTGGCAGAGTTTCCAAGCGCCCAACTTATTTAAAGGACTATGTTGTTGGACAGGTATCACTGTTGTCTAAGTATGGGAAATGTAACCGATATGCTTTTGTGCTTAATTGAACCATTACGCGTAGTGCTGTATATAAGGAAACCATTACGATTGTAACTAACGCCTTATCTCGGTGGGGAGGGGTGTTATGTAGTGTAGTTTCACCCTGGGCCAACAGGGGGATACTGTATATAGTTTTCACTCAGGTCTGTAGATAGTTTTCACTCAGGTCCGCGGCAGTTATTTTAGGCGGGAACTCTGGGCTGTTGTGGTTACAATGTTGACAGCCGGCTGCCTATAAATACAGGCCGGCTGAGCTGTTCGCAGTCAGTTCGATTCCAGCTTACCATAATAAAGAGCTACTTGAAGAAATCGCTGTGCCGGCTGCTATGTCAACCCACGACTTAACACGGAGCCTGCTGCTGCCTAGAATTTATCTTCAATAAACAATGAATTCTCCGTCTGGGAAGAAGACACTAAAAACATCACCTATTTGTAAAGGGTAATTACCATTTCTTCTAAGCAGACACTAATGTTTATTGTTAGTATCAACAATCTACATGCAAGAGTCTAGATTTCAAAGAAAGCAGATGGTAAAAGGGACTCTTCAGAAAACTAGAGTGAAATAGACTTCATATGTGTTTGCAAGACTTATCTGTTGCCTTTCTGAAGACAGCATGATTGTATAAAGCTTGGCTACGCAGAAAAGGGGGGGGGGGAGCCAGTCACAGGAAAATAAAAGCGGAGAAGGGGATCTTGTCTGGTTTAATCATGTTGTAAAGAGACCCAACCACTGTAGTGTTTGCAAGATTATAAATCATCCACAGACTGGATTAGAAGGAACAAACTTTACAGAGTAGTGCCCTGCTACCAAAAGTGCATGCTAAACTGAATTTAGTCAGGTACTCCTTAACTTCCCTGATGATCTCACCCAGAAATGATTTCCCCCATATAACAATTTCTAAGTCACTTTAGTTCCTACTAACATCACACCTATCATCTCAAGATGTTGTTTTGTCTATTGAATCTTGATTGCTTATTCAGGTGCCGTATAAGATGTTGGCAATGCACCTGGCAGGGCTCTAAACACAGGCCTACAAGCAGGATTTTTTCTCCTAGCCCAGAAGTAACCAACCCATATAATATTGGACTACAGCTCCCATCATCCCTAGCTGGCATGGTCATTGGCCAGAGATGATGAGAGCTGTAATGCAACAACATCTGGAGGGCACCAAGTTGGTTATCCCTGGCCCAGCCCGCGGGAAAAGGAAGAGAGCAGGAATCTGTAGGCTGAGCTGTATTTAAAGGGACATCCTGTTTTCCATCATGAGAGAATGGTGGCCATTTTGGTTGCTGTGATCCCAAGCAAATTCACCACTTTTGGGGGCCGCAATCTCATGTGGCACCCCTCAATGCATGTTTTTGGGGCACTGTGCCCAAAAAGTGCTTTTTTTGGGTGGGGGAACCGTGATACAAATTTTGCAAGATCACAGCAACCAAAATGGCCGCTGTGCTTTTGCAATAAAAAAATGAGAAGGCTATGTTTGGGAAGACGGCGCCCCAGATTTTGGCTTCAAAGTGTTGGAAAGTATGCAGTGGGCAGGGGAAGAATGTCTGCCTCAAGAAATATCTCTTTTAGAGATCTAGATGGGGACTTAACAAAAGCACTGGCTCATGTTCTTCAAGATCTTTGTTCTGACGTAAGGGGTGCTCAATTTGTATTTGTAAACACACCCACACAAACACCCACACAGACTCCTTTTTAGAAAGACGCTTTTGTGGCACCGTTTGACCAAATGCTGCTTAACTTTCCTCCTCAGTTTGCTGAGCTGTCGAGGCACGAAAGGGAAAGATGGCCATTGAAATATTACTGTCATGCTGCACAAGAAAACAGGAAGATAAATCACCTTCTGTGTCCTGGTTGCCCAGGGCAACTCCTAATGGATGGGCCTACTCAGGTAAAATCTTACTGCCTTGTCTTTTTTTTTTAAAAAAAAAAAATCCAAACAAACTTGTACTGCCAGATGAAGGGGCTAAACACATGTAGCACTTCACTCAAAAATGTGCACGTCCCGCTCACTTGCATTTTCATCATTCAGAAATGCTAAAAGGCCCCAGGAAGGCCACCAGAATCCCTTCTGTCTCTCTCACTCCCTCAAGCCGAGAACGGGGCGAGGGCTCATTAAATGCTGCTGTCAGTAGGCCTGGATCCTGTCCCCACACAGCGCCAAGTGATTTTAACCAGGTACACAGAATTAAGAAGAGTTCAGAAGTTCAGGGAGTTGGGACCTGGCAAGTCACCGCCAGGTACAGAGCAAAGCGGCATCCATTTTGGGGATGTTGTTTGTTTGAGGTTATTGAAGGGAGCAATTTGTGGGGATTCGACAAGAGAAGAATGCGTGACCCGCTTTTGAGTTTTGATCCTCTCAAACTTTTTGTGCGGTGAAGAAGTTGGGATTGGAAAGCTCCGTATGGTGGCATCCCATGCTACCACATCCTAGAAAACAAAACGCTGTGTGAAAATGGTAGGGTGAATCACACCCCATGGCCTTCAGACACTTGGTGACACCCACACACCATGGCTTCCCCTAAATAATCCTGGGAACTGTAGTTTACGCCCCACAGAGCTACAGTTCCCAGCACCCTTAACACATACAGTTTCCAGGCTTCTTTGGGGGGAAGCAATAGGCATGGGGCGGGTGTGATCTAGGAATTGTTCACTGTGCTTGTTCGGTGCTGCGAGGAAGACACAGTCTGCACATCCTCAAATCACTTCACTCTTTATCACCTCTGAGGTCTAATACTGAAAACATTTCCTAGTACTAAGCACTGATGATTCCTTACTCAAACGCATCTCCAATAACAAATGGAGAATAAAATTCCTTTCAAAACAAAAGTAAGCATTTTGCTATTGCCCTACCTCACAAAATATAGAGAACCTTGTAAACAAAAAAGAGGGGGCAATCAAGCAGGTTTAAACATTATTTGTTGCATTTTTATACCACCTTCCAATAATCTCAGGGCAGTGTACATATCCCTATTATCCTCACATCACTCCTGTGAGGTAGCCACTAGACTGAGGTCACCTGTGAGTTTTGTGGCTGCTGTCCTCCCCCCACTGCAGCCACTATAACACACCACCATGAAAACATTGGTGCTTACATGCTTCACAACTTTCTTCAACCTCTAGAAGACTGTACATCGGGTTAAGTACTTAATTTGTTCCAGAGGTCTGTTCTTAACCTGAAGCACCACTTTAGCTAATGGGGCCTTCCGCTGCTGCCGCGCTGCCGGAGCACGATTTCTGTTCTCATCCTGAAGCAAAGTTCTTAACCCGAGGTATTATTTGTGGGTTAGCAGAGTCTGTAACCTGAAGCGTATGTAACCTGATGTGTATGTAACCCGAGGTACCACTGTACTTTGAAGAATCTTTTCTGCTCGGTACCTTATGCTCTCAAACGGCAACATCATAATGAGGCACCATTTCATATACAACGAACATACATTTCCCTTATAAAATCATGCATGCATCAGTGATGTTATATATTACTCCCTCACAAAACAAACCTGAGCATCTGGCTTAAGCTTGCAAACCCAGGAAATTTGATGGCTGAAATTACAGCTGTGGGCCTTCTCTTGGTGCAGTTAAATAGACCACTGTATCATAATGTTGAGGATATTAGAGATGTATATTATTTCTTCTAACATTCCACAAGTTTTTTGGAGGATGGAAACAGGGCAGTGTTGTTTTATAGTACCACAACTATATTTCTTTGGGGCCTGTGGTAACTTGGATGGACTCAAACATGCTCTGCATTTCTCTGTAGTTACCATTCTTGCCAACTATGCAGCATTTTACAGAGTTCTCCTTGAAATTCAGCATGTTCCCCACTTAGGTTGAAATGCCATGCAAAAACATAGGCTGCGATCCTAACCCCACTTGCTTGGGGGTAAGTCCCACTGAATTCAATAGGGTTTACTTCCCAGTAGGATTGTTAGGATTGCTGTTAGTCAAGTTATGCTTCTTGTGCAAGTCAAGTTATGCTTCTTGTAGTTTAGTCTCTTTCTCTTGTTATGAATTCACCCAGAGCTTTTAATGCTGAACTGACATTGAGGTCTACGTGACTTTTGTGCTATTTAATTCTTTGCTGTTAAATAGCTGTAGCTCATTTTACCCTTGATGAGAAGAGTCCTGGTTTCACTCTGCTTTGCTTCTTTACTGTTCTGAATTGTGTGCTATACTGTACAATCTGTGTGTACTTCTTGCGATTTGTTTCCTTATCTGTAACCTGGCAATGTGAAAATACATAGTGGGCAGTTATCACAGTGGGCAAAATGAAAGCTTGTGCTTTCTGGGAGAGGGATAATATCTATTTCCATTTGGCTTTTAAACAGTGAGGTTTCGTGCAAGGGTGATAAAGAAGTCTTGAACAGGACCCCTGTATTATTATTTTTATCAGTCCAATGTATGTGTGCTGCAGTTAATGTATTTCAGGTAATCCCCACGTTTTTCATATGGACAATATCTCCTGTGTTCTGGGTATTACTTTGGCATACAACGACTGGCATTATGTTTGGTATTGGGGGCTGCTGGAAACAAAATGGGTAGGTTGTGTTTCGGTGATAATCAAAGGAAACGAAAGTAGGGAAGTGTTGAAAGGGACCACCTATGAAATGCACATGACCAAACGCCCGCTTACAAATGTGCTAATGAACTTCCAAACCAACAATGACTGTGGATGTTTAATAGCTTATCTTTACTTACTGGATTTTCCATGGTAAGTAATTACAGTCAAACCTCGGTTTTCGAACGCCTCGGCTGCCAAATGTTTCTGAACGCCGAAAACCTGGAAGTGAATGCTTCCGTTTTTGAATGCGCCTCGGAAGCCGAACGGCTTTTGAGATGTGTTTCTCAAATTTCCCCATTGAACTTGCTGGCAGCCCTTTGATCCTCACTTTTCAAATGTTTCAGGATTCAAACGGACTTCCAGAATGGATTATTTTCGAAAACTGAGGTTCCACTGTATCTAAATTAAATATATATTAAAAAGTAATTTTTTTGTTTTGATGACAATGGCATCATGTGGATGCTACAAAAGGAAGTTATGGACCTGAGCAACATCAATTCCAAATTCCACACTCATGTCTGGAAGCTCCTTTATCAGTGGCAGGTATAAATATTCTGAGCAAAGAAATAGTCTTTTCCTGAATTAATCCTGGGACGGACAAGGCATGAACTCTAGCAAACTCTTCTATACTAATAAACTTGTTAGTTCTGCAGTGACTAAAAATGTGGCTGCTTTCCCATGGAGAATAACAAAGTACGCTGGCTTGCAAAGTTCGGTATGTTTTCACTTTGCGTCTTTGGTGGAATTAGGTTATGGTTCACAGAGTTCCATAAATATTCTCATTTAGTTATGCATGGAATAATTTATATATTTCATGTAGTTCCATTTCTAGCCTGCCCCATCCCTAGGACTTCGAGTGGGTCATAGTTTTAAAATAACAGCACCAGATAAAAATCAGACCCCCTTCCGAAACACCAAACAAAATTTTTGCTAACAGCTTAATCCTGCTCACCAAAAGCCAAATGAAAAGGTTTACGTTGCTTCTGAAAAAAGGTTGAGGTTTACCTTTGGCTGGGTACTCCTCCAAATGTTATGCATTTCCTACAAAGCAGCTTTTATATGTAGTAAAGTAGATGAAATATATGTGAATGGTGACCTTTCCTACATGGTTTCCCCCATTTCATACGGGGGAAGTGCTTTCAGGTCTGGAAATGCGGAGCATTTGAAACAGCCCAGAGTCTTCTAAGGAAGAGAGTTCTCCTGGGGCAGTGCTTGAAGTGTTTCCCTACAACTGTATGAAAATGGCAAGTTGTCACTAGTCTCTGGCTAACAGAAATGAAACAGAGGTCTCTTCCACATATTGAGGGAAGTGCCCGCCCCCTCAGTGGAAGCAGAATTGACTTTTGTGCTTTTGTTGCAATGTGTGAAGTGGAAACTTGTGCATCTCCCACACAGGAAGCACAAAAAAAGAAGCATGGCACTTCTAGATAACCTGTTTATTGAGAATTCATCCTGATTTGTTTGCAGGGAGACCAGATGACACTGGCTTTTCGATGAACATTTATTCTGACGATGATACATCCCACACTTTCCTGTCACATTTCTGACTGCAAACAGTTTTATTTTGGAGTAAGTGGGTTTGTTGTGCAAGAGGACAAAATTGTGCAACCTAAATTTGCCAGTATGTGATTGAATCACCCCCCACCTCCAATAGTGACAGTTTGGAAGCACTGCAAGAGTGGAGTCTTATGATTTGTTTTGTTGCATGTAGTACAAAAGGGTCCCCAGAAATATGCCTAGCTAGTATCACCTGGTGAAATGAGACCTTCCAAAAAGAAACAAATCCCACTGTCTTTCTCCTTTGGAGAGAAGATTCATTTATTTCATTTCTTAATGTATATTTTTGTATAGGTACATAGGTAAAGGTACCCCTGACTATTAGGTCCAGTCGCGGACGACTAAGCCGCTTCTGGCGAACCAGAGCAGCGCACGGAAATCTGTTTACCTTCCCGCCGGAGCGGTACCTATTTATCTACTTGCACTTTGACGTGCTTTTGAACTGCTAGATAGGCAGGAGCTGGGACCGAACAACGGGAGTTCACCCCATTGTGGGATTTGAACCGCCGACCTTCTGATCAACAAGCCCTAGGCTCTGTGGTTTAGACCACAGCGCCACCTGTGTCCCTTATAGGAGTATAGCAGAAGTCAATTAATTCAATAATTTCTTGCCATGTTTCTAAATGTGGAAATATTTTGTGGTGATGGGATGTTTTTGCTCTCCTCTTTTTTATATTGCTAAATAAACAATCCCTTTTGATGCTCATTTCTCTGTGAAGATATTTGATCCTTATCACGCCACTCCCTTATCACTCCGCTTTCATTACATAATTCCAGTGTTCATTCCTGACAGATATTCTGCATAGGTATCCCAGAATCAAGAATTCTAGAGCGCACGAAAACACAAACCATTTCTACAGTACATCAAAATAAAAGCAGTTTATTTACTGATTTCATTTATTAAAAAGTGTCTGTACTTTTTAATGAGCAAAACATCAGCTTTGAGAGGAGTGTTTTGGTTGGTTGGTTGGTTGGTTTTGTATTTCTGAGTCAAATACATATTTAAAACAAATTCGCCTGCTTACATAGAAAACTGCAACCTACTTCTGAGCAGTTTTGTGATATCCCCCACAATTTCCTTGTGATGAATTTTAAACACCATATGGTTAGGACCAACATTCTTTTCTAAAAGTCTCACTTAAAACAAAAATATTTTCCTCCGGCAGAAAGTAGATACTTAATAGTGTACTTATCAAAATAGATTGATACCTGAGCCTTCAGCTCTTAATTAAGCAAAACACATGGGGTGGTTTCTTTTTCTGAAATTCTGAGTTGGGAAGAACAGAAGGCAGACTGTTTTTGTTTGGTATTCATTTCTCATCATGCTTTTTTTCAGTTCCTATCCTAGTTAAATACTGGAAGCTATATTATATCTCATGGGAAGGGACTATTGCAGTGCCAGCCTTTTGCCTTAGAGAAGCAGGATGAATCAATTTCTGAAAAGGGGGAGAAGCTTACATTAGAAGTTTAGAAGAGTGGGCCACGATCCACAGATACCAGTCTGCTCATGCAACTTCCCCAGTTCCCTGGCACCAGAACCCCCAGGGACGTACCACATCCACACAGTGCTAACACTCAGGCAGCTTCATCATCCTGTCAAATGCCAAACACACAGAGACCCACAATGTCACCCCTAAGGCTGCCTAACTGGTCAGGGGAGTTACAAGACCACAAACCAATGACTTTCCGTTCCTCTAATAACTCTATATGCACCAACTGCAACCACTGCCGAGACATAAATGGGAAGCCATTGTCCAGGGGCTGTGTGCATGTGTGAAAAGAAGGAGGCATAATAGAATTTATTTGTTTGTTTCTTATGCTTTAAACTTGTTTTTAACTTTTTGTGGTTTTACTGTCTGGTTTTATGTTTTCCTATTGTTGTAAACCGCTGTGAAACATGTTTATGATACAGCGGTGTATAAATATTTTTATTATAAATAAATGAATATAAATAATTTGAGGAACCTTACCTTTTATGCTGAACCAGGTAACAAATCAGCATGGGGGTTGTGGAAAGCACCAATGGTGAACTTCAGGTACAGGGTCAAATGCAGCCCTCCAGGCCTCTCTCCTTGGCCTGTAGGAGCCAGCCACTCTCTCTCTCTCTCTCTCTCTCTCTCTCTCTCTCTCTCTCCCCAGCTTTCAGGGCCTCCCATGGTAATATGGGGATATGTGTGGCTGACATTGACTTGCATCCCTCCCCATATCTGTTTCCACTAAGCTCAATGAAACAGACACATGCCATGACATCCAATCCAATTTGTTGGTGGCCAGGAAATTCTTAATATAAGGCAACACAACATCACATATTTTACACGACATGCTAGGGAGATAACATGGAGGTGCAGGCTGGTCACCTCCTCATGTGCCCCTTTCCTATTTCACCAGGCAGGTATTAAGAGTTCATCCTCTTAATTTTATTGATGCACATTTTAAACCTTTTTGCATTAAAATTGTTTTAGCCTTTTATGCTTTTATTGCATGGTTTTTGTTTTTGAAAAAGAATCATTTAATGTTGTAAACCACTTTGATATATTTTTATCATTTAGTGGTATAGAAATATTTTTATAAATAAATAATGATAAATAAATTCTATGTAGGTCCTATGTCTTCAAGAGCTATAGAAATCAGCCAGGTTGCATCTAACCTCCAGTTCATTATCCATGAAGGCAGTGCCTGCTCGTTCAGCAAAGAAATAACTTTATTTTAGAAAGTTCTGATGTCATTAGTGCTATTTAAAGAGGCAAATGGTGGCTAGATGATAGTGTCTGGGTTACCCCAGTTTCTTGGTTTATTTAAAATGCTGATGTATCAAATAATCTACTGGGACAAAAGCAGGAAGGAAGCAAGCAAGCATAAAAATAAGCTGCCACTAATGGAGGAGAATGAAACTCTTTGAGATAATGACTACCCCTAAGCAAATTATTCAGTGGCTTAATACATTATCTACAAAACTGAGATATTGACATGGATATGATGTTGACAAATTCATTGGTGTCCGTGAAACTTCAAACCTTTTGAGCAGAGGGCTCTGGAAAATAACATGGCTGCAATTGTGCTAATGAACACATAACTCTAGTGCCGAATGATATCTGCTGTGGAATTTGAAGAGTCAGAACTTCCAGCTTAACATGACTTTGGAGAAAAAATGTAAAAAGTGTGGGTGGTTTCCCCATTAAATATTTGGAAGCAGGGCTTTCTGTAACAAGGAAATGCTTCCCACCCAGTATGACTTTTCTCCCATTCTCTTCATCTGTTTAACTGCCTCCCCTGCTCCTGGTCAGCCTCCTCCTTTGAAGAGTGCTGGATAATGCTTTCAATATGCCATGATCTGTAGCCAAGGTTTGCTGATCATGGTTTGTCGTAGTGAAAGAAACCATGATCCCTGGTTCAGATGTAACACTCAGCCTGAGGTCATTGTTTGTTTCCTCCCAGTGCAAATATGATTGTGGTAGAATGTTATCTCTCGTTTATCACAGGGATGGGGTATCTCAGGCCCAGGAACCCACTGTGGCCCTCCAGGTCTCTCCATCTGATCCTTGGAGCTCTCCAAAGGCCACACCCCCTATTCTCAGGCCACACCCCTCACTGGCCCTGCTTTACATCCTGCCTGGCTGGAATGCGTCCTTGACCTCTGATAATGCCTCTCGCTTGCCTAGATGGAGGTTAGAGAGAGATGCTTGAGTGTGTGTAGAAAACAGCCTAGGGTAAAATTTACATTAGTTGCTCTGCTTACTTTTGTCCCCGACTCCACCCACTACTGGTCTGTGGCCTCTGGAAGGTTCCTCACCTCTGGTTTACCATGGTGTCCAATTGAGGCCTTTATCTATCTATGCCTGCCAAATATAATATTCTTATTCTTAATTAAAACTGACGTTGTGCCACAAATCAGTGGGTGTGACTGGTCTTTGATTGCTTGGAAAACAAGACTTATCCCATCTCTGCTAGCATCCCACATAGCTGTGAAAAAATATGTCAGAATGTGGGTGTGAGACACCTACCATCTTGTTCTGGTGATTAATCTTGCTAGCCCATAAACTAGAGAAATTCTATATTTGGTTTCAAGTTCCATTCTGTTCCTCATTCCAGGCGAGGGAACTAAAGTCAACGGAAGGCATGTCTAGAAAAGCTCCATGTTACTTTCTCTCCACCTTAGCTGGTATTTCCTACATGACACCTGAGTTTTCACCTACCCATTTTGAAAACATGTCTAATAATTCCACGCTGAAAAGAAATCATTGTGAAAAGCTGAAACACAAATATATATGAAAGATTAATATGTCCAAGCTTCTTTTTGCACAGGTGCCTCTATGGGCCTACCCTGGTTGGGAAAGCGTTCAAATTTATCTGAGTGAGGGCCAAGCCAGAAGAGGCACTAGAGATCCACGATTGCACCTTCTGACCTTTCATTTAAGAACATTAGAAGAGCCTGCTAGATCCATCCAAAAGCCCATCTGGTGAGAAAGCATTTTGTTATAGTCCGATGTTCCGTACAGTTTTATACGTTCCATATGTTGGGTTTATTTTATCAAGTTACTAATCACATCCTTATTATTTATGACTACCTAATTTGTTATACTAAATTCTTCTTAGCAGATACTTGTTAACATGCATAGGATTTCAGGTTTTATCCCAACTTGTTTCATAATTGCCTTGCGTGTTGGGGTAAAATTCCCGTTTGCTCAAGTAAGTCCCAAAACAGGATAGGAGCGCAATAGCACTCTGCCTTCCTGGGATTCCCAGCAAATAATAATAATAATAATAATAATAATAATAATAATAATAATAATAATACAGTGGTACCTCGGGTTAAGAACTTAATTCATTCTGGAGGTCCATTCTTAACCTGAAACTGTTCTTAACCTGAGGTACCACTTTAGCTAATGGGGCCTCCTGCTGCTGCCGCACGATTTCTGTTCTCATCCTGAAGCAAAGTTCTTAACCTGAGGTACTATTTCTGGGTTAGCAGAGTCTGTAACCTGAAGCGTCTGTAACCTGAGGTACCACTGTAATGGCATTCAGGAGCATACAGCCTCCAATGGTGAAGGTAGAGCATAGCCATCCTGGCTAGTATTCATAGATAGCCTAATCCTGCAGGAGCCAGGGATGTGTGTCTGTTTCTGTAATGCTTTCCTCCTTTAGCCATTTCCTTACCCCCTTGCTCCCCGCTGCTACTTGCCTTGACTTGGACAACAGACAAGTATCATTATACCTAATGGAATAAAGCAGCTTCAGAGGGCTGTTTAGTATTGGAAAGCAATATAGGGGTTAAGGGCTAACTCCCTGTTCCCTTGCACTGTGACCCTGATCCAACTAAGATGCTGCTTTCAAATGAGAAAGGGAAAGGCAGGGGACCCCGTTAAACATCTCCCTGCTGGAGTTTCCCTTTTGCCCTCTAAGAAACTGAGCAACAAATTCCTCTGGCCACTAGGTGGAGGAAAAGGGCAGCTGAGGCTTTGCGCTGAAATTTCTTTAACAGTTTTGCGATGATAATTAAATAGATTTGAGCCTTTCACTTAATTGGAGCATGCTCTTTGGAATCTCAAAGGAGCTCTATGTGTGTTAGGCTTAAATACTAGCAAAGGACTGGCTCTTCTCCACCATGTCGTTTTCACAAGAGTAAAGGGTATTAGTCTTGACATGCTGGCCTGATTCCAGGGTAGGTAATTGCAGCCTATTCAGCCCTTTTAAATCCCCCTTGTGGTTTCAATGGGATTTGCTGTCCTTTCCTTCTTACACTGGTAGTAGAGCATTCTGGCATCTGTGCTCTGCCTGTGACTAAAGAGATGCTTGCATTTTAGGGGTGGGCAAAACAATGCCCCACCATGAGCGGTTTTTCATAGGACTTGCTTCTTTATTTATAGATCTGGATTTTGCTCTCAATGGAACTAAGCCCAAGTGTTTTTGTTTCAAAGGACGGATTAAAGTTGATCCTCGCTTTCGTTGTGTGTGTTCCCCACACTGCTCCCTCAAATTCATGTATCTGTGTGTGTGTGTGTGTGTGTGTGTTTTATTTGTTTATTTTTTTAAAGCATTCATCTTAGGAAGACAGGGTGCTATTAATGGCTATGGTTTTTAACAATTGCTTCTGAGGTGTGTACAGAAGCCCAAAGCTGTATTGCCATGAAATAGCGTGACATCAGGCATGTATTATCTTAAGCCTGGGATCTAATCCAGATGTTCCAAACTAGTTTTGCAGGAACAATTTCATCCTTGCATTTAATTAGGTCTGTAATTATTTCTGGTACACATGTCTGTGTTAAGACATGTTAGCTGCTTCCTTCCTCTTGCAAGTCAGAGATCTTGCCTACATTCTAGCATCCAAATGCAGACGCCTAATAGGTGCATTTGTAGCAATGTGCCCTTTTAGGGCCTGTCCACACAACCGCTTGGCCCAAAGTGTTGAGATCAAGCCCTTTGCCCTCGTCAGATTGTGCCTATGGGAGCAATGACACTCTTGAGTTTCCCCCCTATCACCCACCTGCCTGCAATTCAGCCTTGACAATTATGGACAAATCTCCCAAAATATGAAGGAAATATTCAATTGGTGACACACAAAACATCCTGTTGTGCATTTCTGCACGGTCAAGGGATCTCCCCAGCCAAAGGAATGCACATGGCACATCAAAGAAAACACTTGCAGCCATTTCTGCAGCTCTGGGTTCCTATGCACATCAATCAGCTATTTCCAGGTCTGTGCTCTATGGAGCAGTTGCAGCAACAGAGGACCATCCCCCCCTCCACCCATTTATGTATTTTCCCCTGGCAGGTTGTACTTTCGCAGCCAGAGGCTGTGCCTGCATGGAAGCTTCCTCCGCTCATCCCTTTTCAATCCCCTCCTGGTTCAGGGAGACAGTGGTGCAGGAGAGGGTGGGAAGCACCAGCCGCTTCACTTGCCTGACCTGCCTTTTCCACCTCTTCTTCTGACCCAACCTGTGCTCCAGCCTCTAGCTCTGAAGCTTCCCCAGCCTCCATCTCTTCTCTTCTGGCTGATACAGCCCCCCACAATCACTGCCCCCCTCTCCCAAGTCAGACTCCTGCCCCTCTTTCCCCAGTGCACACTCATCAGCATCCTGCCAGTCCCTGACATGCACTGGGTTGAGAGGGCAAGAACAGGTGGACATGCCCCAAGTGTAAGGATAGGTGAATCTATCCATCTTAGTTTCTTTCTGTTTCTCATTTTCCCAGTCTTCAGCTCAGTTCTCCATATTTCTGTATCCATTCATAAATATATATATTTTAGTCGTTAAGAAACTTCACCAACATTTTAGCTCAGATTTCTCTCAAAATATATCTTTGTGTGGAATTTTGCTTAATGTGCATATTTTGCAAAGCATTTTTCCAATAAAATGCATTTCTGTTTGTTATTTTTCACTAACATGTACATTTTTATACACACTTAACGGTAGCATATGCACCTTTATAAGCATTATTTAGCTAGAGAACTGCATTGCAAACTTCGGAGAAGCGTGAATTTCACAAGGTGGCTGCATTTCTGTCAGTATGTTGCTTCAGAAAGTGTGAATTTAAGTGTGGACTGAATCAAATTTCTCCCCTAGTCCCACACAAATGGATGATTTGGCTGCTGAAACCCACTTTAGCAGGTGTTGGGCATGCTTCTTGGTCAGGTATGCTCAGGTATCGAGACAGAGGTTGACCCACACTGAGCACATCAGCTCAGCCTCCCTCATGTCAGTCTCTGGCATGAAATTCCACACATGCCTTTTATTTAGGAAAGAACACAAGCGTATGTTATCTTACTCCTCTGGAATTTTACAGTTCCTTAGCATGTTAGTTTAGCCATAATTGGCTTGCAGGGTCTCTTGAAATGTATCTCTCGACACAAAGTTCTCCTTTCCATCAAGCTTTAGGGCTGGTTCATTTCTCCAGCATTGAATGCTGAGCATTAGATTGCAAACGTACCTAATCCATCTCTCCTCCCCCATGACTAGAAATCCTGTGGTTAAAATAACACAGCCTCTATTCAGAGCACAAACTTAGAGTTGCTAGCCAAAGTGGGATTGAAAGAACTCTCAGCAGGCGGGTCTGTCTTAGGGTGGCTTTTTAAAAATCCTGTTTCTTCTGATCCATGAGAGGAAAGCAAGGTGTCTCCTCTTTGCATTCAAGGTAATGATTTTCTGGGCTGTGTGTGTGTGAGAGAGAGTGTTGCTGTCTACGTGTGTGTGAATGTGGCCACAAAACTGCTGTTGCTATTATGAGAAGCATTTAGTGGCAAAGGCTTTGAACTGTTCACAGCTGGTCTTGTGGCTATTTCTGTACGTGCAACCTGAGTGAAATTATCCCAGTGCCCTGAGCAGATAGGAGCAAACCAGCACTCCTGTGTCACATGGAGAAGAGGGCAATGTGTTTAGAAAACTGTTTGTGGGTCTTGGGACGTCGATGGCACAACTGGATGTTGCTGCTGTGGAGTTGATCTGATGTAGTAACGCTCCACTCCTGGCTGGTTTTGTCTGGTTGAATGTTCAGCACAGCCTCTCTCCAGGTCTCTCGGTGTAATCCCTATGCCAAAGGCTAAAGCTGTGCCTGACTTGGATCGCACTAGCTGTCTTTACAGTGTATGTCTTAATGCTGTTATAGTAACCACAAGACTGCCCTGTGTTCCAGAGTATTTCTTTAATGCAGCCTTGCCAGATAATTAAGCACCTCTCTGTCTGCTGGGTTCCTTTCAAAGGCACAGTCAGGGTTTGCTTCTGGTGAAAACCTCTTTTATGCCGAAATGCAAATAACAAAGCAGCTCTGCAAAATGTTGGATTAAGGGAACTCTCCACATAGTACTCTGTTATGCAAACAGTACCTGCTCCTTCCTCCTCTCCGTGCTGTGCAGATAATCAGAGGGGAATCTCAAACCACATTCTGGTTCAGGATTGGCAATCAGTGATCACCATTAAAAAAAACCCCAACCAAAACTGGAAGAAAGGGAATTGCTTTGTGGGCTCCCTCATAGGTGCCATATGTTTAGACACCTGCATGTGGGCTAATAATAATAATAATAATAATAATAATAATAATAATAATAATAATTATTATTATTATTATTATTATTATTATTATTAATATTTATACCCTGCCCATCTGGCTGGGTTTCCCCAGCCACTCTGGACAGCTTCCAACAGAACATTAAAATACAATAGTCTCATTTATTACAAATGCACTGTCTCATTTATACAAATGAGACTGGCCCAAGGCCATGACTGTTTGGAGATTTAAACCCTAGTCTCCCAGGTCCTGGTCCAGTACTCTAACCACTACACCACATTGAGTCTTTCTTAGTATGTGTGGAGATGCAATGCAGGCAATGCACATATGTGATGCACATCATTTTCCTGCATGCTGAAAAAGATCATGTGTTTGCACATGTTGGCCCTCGGGATTATAGTCAGGCCCTTCCTGGGCCAAACTCCTCCATGGCTTGCTGCAGACACTCATTGAGTGCTTC